CTAGTACGTGAATGAAGGTTTGGGAGCGAGTTCGGGGTCGATTGGACGAAGATCGGACGTGTGGCGAGTCGTTGAGGAAGCCACACGGGCACTCATAAAACCCACACGGCCGTGTAAGGAACCAATGTGGCCATGTGGGATTATGCGAGGCTTCACACGGGTAGACTAGAGATCCTACACGGTCGTGTAGGTAGCATGAAGTCCAATTAATCAAAACTCGGCGTTTTGACTCTTGCACGGGCATCTGGGAAGCCACACGATCGTGTGGCCTGCCCGTGTGATCGGGATTTTCTGGGTTTTAACCCAAATTCGAGCCACAAGTGAGGGATCCGAGTTTTAGAGAGACAGAGCAATTCCTAGAGAGAGAAAGCGACGAACAAAAGTTCCCAAGTGCCCTAGATTGATCTTCATCACCATTGGAGACCTGCTTGAGCTTGGAGAACTGCCGATCGACGACCATGAGCAGAAACCCATCCTTCACAGTATGGTTTCCGCATCAGAATCTGCTTTTGCTTCTTTCTCCATGGAGTAGTTCTCCCATTCATCTGGGTATGGAGAACCCTAGATTTGTATGTTAGGTCTGATTGTATGAACCCAAGTACAGATTCTATGATTGGATTATATTCAATTGAGGTTTGAATGATTGAATGGCATGAATCCTGATCAAATTCCTGTTGTTTCTGCTTTAACCTAGAAAGAGCATATCTGCCTAGGTTGATATAGCACCCTTAATTGAAGGTAGTGAATTGGCGACTTTACCGAATTTACTTCGGTAGTGGAGGTTTTGTTCATTAGGGTCTCAATCTGTTTACTCCGGTGGAGGTTAGTCGCCCGCTGGAGACTCAGATTGAGAGGGTCTGGAGACCTTTAGTCGAGACTTCAGACTGTTTAAGAACCTTCCGTAGTATAACTATCATAGAAATTGAACTTGGTAAATTGCAATCCGGCTTAACTGCAGTCTAGGGGGAACCATATCCGGGTGACCTCTCTCGACTTGATAACAACCGTTTAATTGCTTGCTTTACTTGTTTGCTTAATTGAACCTGAACTAAAGTTTCACCGCTAGATAATAAGAATTCACTGAGTAGTCATCACATCTAGGACCCGGGTTGACATTAAAACCCAAACCCGCTATACTACGCTTTAGGAAGTGGTTACACTTGGCCATTTTCTAGAGTGACAGTAGGAGTGAGTCAATGGCTTTTGGTACGTCGATGGACTTCTTCACGGAGTAGTTCCACCAGATGGGGCTCCAGTTTCAGCAGCTCGGATGGCGGTTCTGGACGAGCGCCTCGACCGGATGGAGGCTCAGCAGGGAGTCACCGGTGCTCGCATCGAGCGGGAGCGAGATCGTAACCGCCGGATGATGGAGTACCAGGAGCACCTGTTCTAGTCCTGCCACCCGCCACATGAGCATCACTTGACTACCCGGTGGGGCCACTCACCACCCTTGACACCATCGACAGATGGGGTTGACAACCTCATGGATCATATCAACTTCAGCGAGCTCGAGTAGCCTGTACTCGCTAGTCGTTTTGTGTTTCTTTTGTTTTGGTTCGGAGTGCAAACTGGCTTGTGTTTGGTTTGATTTCTTTCCTTTTGGATGATGTACTATGGGGCTGACATTTGACCTAACGTATCTGTGGTTGAGTGATTGTGTCTTCTTTAGCCGTGCCTTTGCACCGAATGGTCCCATTCCAATCCATTTCACTCCGACTGGTCCACCTTCTAGTCTCACTTCAAGTCTCACTCCGACTGGTTTTGGTTAGGTTTGCTTGGGGACAAGCTAAGTGTGGGGGCATTTGATAGACCATTAATTGCACATGTTTATACCTCCATTCTTGAGCCGTTTGAGAGTTGATTCTCGTGTTTTAAGCCGATTTCACGCTAGGTTGTGTGTTTATGTCATATTTCCTAACTTGGCGTTGACGTGAAGGTGAGGAAACGAGTTTCGGGTCAAAAAGGTGGAAACTGGAGTGAAGGGCGCTGGAAGAGCAAAATACCCGGCTAGGAGCTAAAAATACCCGGCCGGGTAAAATGCAAAGAGAGGTCGGGGATTCCTGTTTTGGACGCCAAGAAGGCAGAAGGGGTCCCGGCCGGAGAGCAAAAATACCCAATCTGGTATTCTAGACCTCGATCGGGCATTAACCCCCCTAGCCGCTGCTGCGCGTTTTGAAATCCTGGCCGGACACCTAAAATACCCGAGCGGGTATTATGGTTGGGGACCGCGACCTGCTGATTCTTAAGGTAAAGAAGGCCAACTTTTGAAGGGTTCCGAGTTTTGAAGATAGAAAGCTGATACCTAGAGAGAGAGAGAGAGTTATGAACCAGATTCTCCAACCGCCTTAGATCAATCTTCATCACCATTGGAGCCCGGCTTGAGCTTGGAGAAGTGCCGATTGATTGCCAGAAGCAGATTCTCATCCTTCACAGTATGGTTTCCGCATCTGAGCTAGAATTCCCTTCTCTCTCTATGGAATGAACTCTTCCACTCACCTAGGTATGAAGAACCCTAGATTTGTATGTTAGGTCTGATTGTATGAACCCAAGTACGAATTCATTGATATTGATTATATTAAATTGAGGTTTGATTTCCTGAATGGCATGAATCCTGATCAAATTCCTGCTATTTCTACTTTGACCTAGAAAGAGAATATCTGCCTAGGTTGATATAGCACCCTTGATTGAAGGTAGTGAATTGACAACTTTAGTCGAGGAGTCAATTCACTATTATGTACCGGATTTACTCCGGTAGAGGAGGTTTGGTTCGTTAGGGCCTCAATCTGTTTACTTTGGTGTAGGTTAGTCGCCCTTTGGGGACTCAGATTGAGAGGGTCTGGAGACCTTTATTCGAGACTGCATACTGTTTTAGAACCTCCCGTGGTATAACTATCATTGAACTTGAACTTGGTGAATTACAACCTGGCTTAACTGCAGTCTAGGGGGAACCATATCTGGGTGATCTCTCTCAACCTTGAATACAACTTTCACTGCTTTTGCTTGCTAGTTTAGTTAAACTCTCGCTACACTTGAACTACTAAATAATAATACTTTCACAGAGTAGTCATCACACCTAGGACCCGGGTTGACATTTAGAACAGAACCCGCTATACTACGCATTAGTAGGTGGTTATACTTGGCCACTTTCTAGTTTGACGGTAGTGGCGTGTCAGACCACCCATACCTTGTGGCGCTAAGGGGCCGCCCTAAAATGGAAAAAGAGGCATGTTGTTTGGGCATCTTCGAGAGTCGGTAACCATTGGAAACTAGACTTCGGCCAGTTCGACAAGCTTCATTGCTTTGATGTTATGAGGGAGGCACTGGTGCACCCACAATGGCGCCAAGTCCTTGATCTCGAAGATGACATTTACGGGGAACTATGCATCGAGTTTTTTAGCATCTTCACCATCCACAAGACCCAATGCCTACTCGGTCATCCAGTACGCTGGGTCGAGTTCTGGTTGGGAGGGGAACTTCACAATTTGAGCTACGACGGGTTGGCCAGAGCCCTCGAAGTGGAAGCCAAACATGAGGACGATTGGGAGGAAGACGCCATCCGAAGTTTCATCGTGGATGCCGCATTTCTGAAGTTTGTCCTTCCAAAGTACCAAAGGAAAAAGTTTAAGTCGGCCCTCACAACGACATCCACACTCCAACCCTAGTGGCGTGTCATCGTTGCACTCCTGGCTCGTTCCCTCTACCCGGCTTACCACAACCCGAACAAGATAAGCGAGAGAATCTTATTGGCTTGTTCTTGCATGGTGGACCTGTCTAGCACTCTGCACCTGGGTTCAGTCATAGCCACTTCTTTTGCCAGGGCCAATGGCGGAAACCATCGTTATGTCACATCGATGGGTCCCTACATCACCCGCCATGCTCGACACTTCAATGTCAGCCTGCCAGGGTGCTGGAAAGAAGGGCGCACCCAGAGATTTGACGAGGGAACTTTGCACTCCAAGCGCTTATTGCGCACCTTTGGACCAATGCGGTACATCGAGGGATTGAGTCCTGACCCCGAGGTCCCACCACTAGCAGAGAAGCAAACTGCTCGAGCACCCAGCCGCCGCCAGTGTCCAGCACTCCAGCACCCAGCACAGCCACCACCACCACCAGCAGGTGATCCCTTCGTCCAAAGGTTGGATCGGCTAGAGCCAAACTTCGTGGGATTCTCTTCCCGCCTCGACCGACAGAATAATCTCTTCGAGCTGATGGCTCGACGCTAGAGCGTCCTCCCAGATGAGGATGAGGGTCCTTCCAGCGGAGAGAGGTAGCCGACGAGTGCGACATGTGGCAAAGGCAATTTATTTTGCCCCACTTCTCCACTTGTAACCCTGAACTTGTTGTTTTTGTTATTATTCTTTCTTTTGTGAGTGTGACCATAAACTACTACTACTAATATCGTATTGTGTTTGTAATAACCTCTCGCCTCGAGCGAGTCGTAGTGTGTTTGTGTGTGTGATTTTTGTCTCTCCTTGAAGCTCAAAATATCCTACCTTGGATTCGATTCCAACTTTCACTCACCAAACCCAAGCGGTAACATCATTCTACCCCTTTCTTACGCCATTGAGGGGAATGTCGAGCTTAAGTGGTGGTGGGGGGTAGTTTACTATTATGCTTGTGTGAGTGTTGTAGACACCCATTTTTGTCCGGGTAAAACATATTTTTTTTAAAGAAATTTTTAGTTGCTTCAGGCTAGCCATTGCGAATCTTAAACAACTTTAAACAAATATTTGGAAGCGTTTAATGTGAGATTGGATTGATGAGATTAGCAATAGCAAATCTTTAAATGCCAATTTTTGATTTGAGGTTTGCTTAGCATTGTCGAGTGTTTTTTTTATAAATATTTGTCAAGTGTTGGGATATAGTGTTCTGGCAAGATTAAACGGAGTAGACAATAGTTTAATCTCGTTATTAATTAAGATCATGAATATTGAATGATTATTTGCATAGTTGGGCTTTTGTAAAATTTGAAATCATTAAAAAAAGGCCCAGGCAATTACAAAAAATTGAAACCTTGATTAAAACAAACCATAATAACTATAATTACAATTGCATTTACAACTAAAAAATAAAATAGCCCAAGCCCAGAAAGTCAACTCTGGTCAATTCGGTCAACAAAAGTCAAACTCAGTCAACCTGGCCAAGTCTGTCCAAATACAGATCAGTCTGACCCAAACCGGTACTGTAGCGAGCTTGCTTTTTTCTTTCTTCTTCTTCATCGTCATCCTTGTTCTTTCTCGCCAGAGGCAGTAGACGGAAAAAAGGGAAGAGCTTCTTCCTTCTTCACTCCCTCATCAAGTTTCTTTCTGCTACTTCTTTCACACAAGCTTCCATCCCCTCCACTTCTTCTTTCTGCTCTGATCCACAGACAACAAAAAGCAAAAACTCTACCAAACAGAGACTTCCCTCTTTCATCACACAAAAACAGAGGGCTCCCTTTAACCACTATAATCCCAAAACAAGAACACAAAAACACCTTCCTTCTCCTACTCAAAACATAAACAGAAGACACGAAGTTACAAAAGATCCCTCACCAAACACCCTACCACTGCCGTCAACTTCAGCAAAAAAAAAAAAAAAAAAAACCCCAAGGAGAGATGAGCTAGGAGAGGCAGAATCATCACCCAACGAAAAGGAAAAGGTTGGTAGCCACTTAATCATAAACCATCATCCATGATCCATATCATGCTAAGTTCTTTCTATGAACTCAAGCAAACTTAATCATTCCATACAAATACAAGCCGACCTAGAACTTTAAAGTAATACAACTCAAATTAACCCCAATCAAAATAAAAGATGACAATAATACCAAGCAAGCGACGGAATCAGATTTATTGCTTTCCTTTTAAGGTTTGCTACTTCTTGTCTATATCAGTCTATTCTTGTCATTTTAATATTTTCATTAGGTAAGCATATTAAAGGTAAATAGATACATGCTTCGTTTATATATTTCATTGTATTCGTTTTACTTGGCATTCCACCACATATACAACTAAGCTAGCACCCTAAACACGACAAAACCATATGGTTTGAACCACCACAAACTACAAACAATCAAGGCTTGTATCTACCCCCAATGATCATAAACCAGCCATCCCTACCCCAGTTATCATTTTCGTGTGTTTAGATTTGTTCCTTTTAATCTTCTACCCATCTACTCTGCTTTTTCCTTTAAGTTATTTACAGCTAGTGTTTATTAACATGAACAACATAAACTAACCGAGTTCTTTAGCTATATAAAGTCTGTCTTTTAACTAAAATCATCATTTTACCACAGCCTACTATTAATACAACCATGAACTTCCAGATCATACTCACCATGAACTCCCCCCAAATTTTCAGATTCGGAATGCCACAAAACAACATCTTGCGAATTTGAAACCACCATGAACATACACAATTTGTAGTTTCAAAATGATCCAAATCGAGGACCCATATTCTCAATCCTTTCTTTTAAACCAAAATAGAAGACCATACAAAAAAACTTACCGAAAGGGTCTGTCTGCCCTGTACTCATTCCATCGCCGTCGGCGAGACCCGGGACTGCCGGCGGCGGCTCCCATACTTCCACCCCTCTCGTCTGAAACCCCAAACCAAATAAAAAAAGTCAGAACTATAAAACTTCCCAAATATCAAAATAAAAAGAAACAGAAGCTTACCTAGAAAATCGAATCCCACAGAGGGCTTCTCTCCCTTGCACGACCGTTAGAATCCCTCACCGTCAGCTGACCCCATTTTTGATTCTCCTCTCGACGAGAATCAAAACAAAAACAAAAAAAAAATACAATCAAAAACCAAAACACAGTCAGAACCCTAAATCCAAATAAATCGAAATCGCCAATTGAAAACACAAAAACGACATGCAAACCCCAAATGAAACTATTAGCTTTACCGTCGTCCGATCGTCATCACCGGTGTCCACCACCGTCATTTCTCCCTCGTCGTTGTCATTTTGCTTTTCTTCCTTTCTCATCGTGTTTCAGTAGAAACGAACGGAGAAGGAGATGGTCGATCGAAATACGAAAAGAAGTGAGAAGGAGAGAGGCAGCGGTTTCGGTCGATTTAGAGGAGAGCTAGGGTTCATGTTTGTTCGTTTTTGGAGGAGAGACGTACAGAACGAGAGAGAGAGGAAGATGATATTCGAGAAGAGAAGAAGGGCGGCCATTTAGCAGCTAGGGTTTCTCCAAATGGGTATTATACCCTCGAGCGCAAAATGACCAATTTACCCTTAGAGTTTCCCCTTAATTACCTGTTGCCATCGTTCCTGCTAAAAACGAAAAACCAATGCTGAGGTTCGAACCGCCAGCCTGATCCATTAAAATCGAGAGAGCAACATGTCCAGCCACCAGGCTGATAGCCCACCACTTACACATACACCAATCTCTTTACATTTTAAATGAATTAAACCCTAATACGTAACTTACAACTAAATTACTTCCGTTATCACATGGAAATTCATTCCAACCCGGATAAAATCATTAATACCTTACCTCCTAATAATTATTAACTTCATTTTAGAATACTCTTCTTACATTGGATTTTTTTCCTTTAAAATTATCTTTAATACGAAGTCATGGTCAATAGACCGTGATAGTAGTTCTCAGTGAAATCATTCCAAAGATAATCCTACATTCAAACACTAAACTGATATATCAAAAATACATTTCATAACAACTCAAATTATTATCTTATTCACGAACAATAGAACGTGGTAAGATCACGCTTTGAATCACTCAAAATTACAACAAACTACGTGAACTTTGATCCCGATTAACTCGGGTACGTAGGCAACCAATAGGTTCGAGTCCAAACAATCGAAAAACAATTTTTATGTCAATAGACGTGAAATTTTGAAATAAATACAATAATTCAAAATTGACGATAATCATATCGTCCGATTGGACTTAAAAAAACACACACTCAAAATAACTAAAAGTAATTAAATGTGACAAGTAAATACACAAACAAGCCAAATAAACTGCGATTAATAACACACACAATCTTTAATAAGCTTATCGATCCAATTAGTATCCATTTTGGGGCGTTGTTGGGTGTGAATACACTTCCCCACACGTAACTGTACTCCCAAACCTAGAAAATCTAAAACTTTCGCAGACCAGATTTTTGGTTTTAACCTAAATAATAAAAGCAGAATGGGTGTTCGACCAACCCCGAAGCGCGGTCGATGGCGACTCCGAGCGTGACGCAACGGATCCCCCGATTTCGGAGGGACAGTTGCGACAAGTGTGATTGATGCTTAGAGCCTTTTGTATGCCCAAATTTCAAAAATTTGAGGGCTCCAAGCAATGTTTGCATGATCAAAGTGGTCAGCTTGTGGGAAAATCTCATGTTTATTAGCATTGATCTTGCATTGTTGCATGTGATCGAGTATATCCTATGATGATGACTGAGAGGTCCATTAGGATAGTGCAAAAGTTCAGTTCTCATGTGTGCATAAATGAATGGATGTCTTGACTCGATCACTTGTTGATTACAATTGCCATGCATTGTGTTTGTGAATTGGAATAGATGGTTGGGTGACTAGGTAGCCATGTGAGCTTTGAGCCGATCGTTTTCTTCTTCTGTGTCTAGATCCCTCTTAACATGGTGTGAACATCATAGTTGTCACTAGTAAGTATGATGGAGGCATAGGATTAGTCCACGCTCAAATGTTGATTGTCCCTAAATGTGTTATCCACTAGTCAACCCCTTTGAGCCTCATGAATTCGAGGGTCGTTCTTAAGTTAGGAGCTTCATGCTTGTGAGCTTAATGGTGTTTATAGCACGACCCCCAATCCTTTCTTCGTGTCTAAATATAAGTCATCATTGTGTCCCGGAGCTCTCACTTTTGAGTTCCATAGAGGTTCTACATAGGAGGTTTGTGTGCGGTTCTTGCTAGGAATGAAAAATGAAGTGTAGTGTTGTAGTGAGTTCTTCAAAAAGAGAGCATTGGTCGTTAATTGCATAGGTGGCAAGTGTTTTTACTCTCTAGTACCCCCTCAAAAAGAAAAGAAAAAGAAAGAAACGAAAAAGAGGTAATAAAATGGGGTAAATAAAATAGAGTGCCACGAAAAACTAAAGTGTATGCTCTAGGAGGGGTTTCTTGGCACCCAAGACAATGAGACCTCCATAATATTTAGAACTCTTTCACTAGCAAATCGAAAGGTGATAGCAAGACTAGACCGAGGAAGAGTGCTTTGATGTAGGTCATGACGCGTGATAAGTTGGAAGGGAGAGATAAGGTTTTTTGGCCGATGCTAGTGGCCTGTGGTTGAGGAGAAGGGTTTTAGTCGGAACCATGGAACATTCGGGTCTAGGTTGAAGTTGTAGAACCTCACGTCATGATTTCCACCACCCAAAAAATCCTTTTTCCCATGTCCAAGCTAGCGGTGTCAACCATCCCGTGAACTCTATGAACCCGTGTCTAAGATCTCCGGACAAGCTAGCGGTGGCAACCATCCCGTGAACTCTTGCATTTAGAGGTTACCGCCGTGGTATTGAGATGATAGGGCCGAGTGTTTATGATTGTGCCCATCTTTTGCACCAAAAAGGTCCGGACCCCATTGGTCTTGAGAGTGAGTGATTCATTCTTGTCTTGCATGCCATATCATACCCCGGTGAGAACCTTTGTTGCCTTTCCATTTGTTCATCGGACTTGAATTCTATGCATGGTTGGTTGTGGTTAGTAAGTGGTCTTGTTGAGACTTGCATTGATCCATGAACAAGGTGAGAACTTTTCGTTTTCCCACTTTTAGTGGCCTGGAATGTTGTTTGTGGTGGATGTCGGTATTGCTTGCAACGGTCCATGCATTAATTGCAATAGCCATTGAAAATTCCCACTTTGTGCCCTTTGAGTTGTCCCCAAAGTATGTTTGTAGGTTGAAATATTACCTTGTGGGAAATGGTTTGCTTGAGGACAAGAAAATGTCTAAGTGTGGGGGAGTGATTCGAGCCTAATTGTACACATTTTACCCCCGCTTTCCTTAGGCGTTTGTGTCAATTGTGCTCCTAAAAGGTTGGTTTTACGCTAGGTTTCTTGTGTTTTATCATGTTTCAGGATTTAACAGGTGAAACCAACCCCGGAGTCGAAAGTTGGACGAAAAGGAGCGAAAACCGAGAGAAGAGGAGAAAAAGAGGCAGTTCACGGTCTGCTTAGACCGTGAAGAGGAGCTATTGCCCGTGAACATCAAGGCGTCCAGAGCCAAATCTCAATTTACTGACGCTAATTGAGTTCACAGTCACTAAGATGGTGAACAGAATTTGTTGCTAGTGAACCCGTGCAAGCGAAGAAGTGCGTTCGACGCCGATCTTGAGTTCACGGACGCATTTCAGAGTTCACGGCCGTGAACTGAGCTCGTTCACTGTTTAAAAGATGAGATGAAGGGAAGAGAGAGGTGAGAGCCCATTTGAATGAGAAAGCCTTCTTCATATTTTAGAGAGAGAAAGACGAACCAAGGGAGAAAGAGGCTAGGGTTTTACTCCAAGAGTGGATTTGGGAAGATTCTCCCCAAGAGAAGTTCAGCACAAGTGCCAAGAAGATTGGAAACCTCCTTCATGATGGTTTCTACCTCTTCCCTTTGTGTTTCTCCCATTTCTAGCATGGAGTAGATTTCTTTTTCACTTGGGTGTTGTGAAACCCTAGCTAGCTAGCATGAAGTAGATTTCTTTTTCACTAGTCACTCCTAACTAGGCCAAGTATAACCACACTAGGAATGAAGTAAAGTGACTCGGTCGTATTCCAAAGTATTACGGTATCCTAGGGTACTTAGGCTCGGTCCTTATCTAGTTAACCTATTACTTAGCAGGTGGGCAGGTGGCAATTCCTAAACTAAAGATTGATAGATATGAATAGGTTTATCAGAAATGGTGTGTGTGCTCTCTAATCTTGCGGGCCTTCGTCGTTATCCCACGACTCCGAGTATTCCCCCTCCCCCCCCCCCAAGACCAAAAGTCACCTCAGTCAAGGCTCACGTATATGTCGCTTTACGAATTTAGCTCATATTTCAATAGGTTCTATCTATTGTGCAGACTAAAGAGATAGATCGATACACGCTTGCGTTCCCCTAAAGCATCGTCTACGAAGGCGCTCTTGTAGCAAGGGTACGATCACCTTGTCCACTACAAGACCCAAAAAAAATTCATCTATCCTTTGTTACACCCCGCTCTTCCCAAAAGTCAAAATGACTATTATACCCTTGGGTCAAGTTCCACCGTATTATCGATGAAGACTAAAATGTAAACTCTCGGTTTAAACGGTGCGAGTTTCGACGTAAATCGAGTAAGTTACGTATGCTAGTTGAGTTTCAGATTAAACTCACCCGTAATCTAAGAAATGCCCAAAATACCCCTCGAGTTAATTAAAACCCAACCCAACCCTAATCTCTCGTTCCACTCGGCAACACCCAAGCTAAATAAAACCCTCGCACCCCTTTTCTCCACCCAAATGCTGATCGGGAAATCGCAGCAAAGCGGCGTCCAAGGGCAGAGAGAGCATCATCATTCCCTCTACTATGGGAGGTGCTTGCTTAACCAAGCTCGTCTCATCGGTGGAGGACTTGCTATCGGGAAGAAACAAATCGGCATCAGCGGATCTGCCGGCGCCGAAACCGGTGCTAAGAGAGCAGCTTGGTGGTGTGGTAAGCAGACAGGTGTGCAGGCGATGTCCAGGACGAGAGCTAGCGTACTCCACCCTGGAGACCTGCTTGTTTGGGACAATGGCACGGTGATTGTTGGCCTCCTCCCTACTACGTCAGGTGCTTGCTTAGACCTGCCTGCTTCAGTTAGTCGCACTTGCTGCCCGGCCACCACCAATGCAGATCTTCTCCTTACTACGGCAGGTGCTCACTTCAGGTAATGGACGTGCCACTGTTGGTGCCCAGCTGCCTACGCATGGATTCGAATTCAAAATCGAAATAGCTAAATACTAAATAAAAGGGATTTGAATGAAATTCATATGAATATGTATGTGTCCACTTTCTTTCATTTCCGTGGGATTTTAGTTCAATTGGTCAGAGCACCGCCCTGTCAAGGCGGAAGCTGCGGGTTGGAGCCCCGCCAGTCCCGGTGGATCCAAATCAAATCGAGTACCCTATCTTTCCCATTAGTCCATACACAAATGGAATTTGTATTTCTACAAAATCAAATTCAATTGCTTTGCTAGAATACTTTTCACAAGTAGGAAGGCTGAAATAAGGAGTCAGTGAAGAGGATCAAATTTCGATTACGAGCAGGGCCAAATCCAAAACGTGGCCCCTCTTCATAAACACTGACAAGAGAAAAATTGCAGAAGCGTATGATTTTGGGTAAGTTACCTACACTACTCGCATTTGGTTACTTCATAAAGGGGTATCAAGTGAAATGGTTAAGTAATTATGGAGGTGCTTTAACATGGATTGGGCGATTTGTTGTGGTTGATTTTTGGCGATCGAGACGAATGGAGTTGATCGGGGAGCATCGTCGATTAAATGCTAAGTTGTTCCATGACATCTTTTGGAGTACCTAGTTCATGAAGCCGATGGATTTTAGCTATATAGTCAGGTGAGTGTAAAAGGGGGTAAATTCTATGCCTTACGTGTTCTTTCAAGTATTACAAGCTCTAAGTATTTTGATGAAGTGAGTGTCGTTGTTTGATTGTGCTTATGGTTGATGATATATGATTTTGTTTGAGCTATGTTTGAAGTGAATGTGGATGAGTTTATTTCTTACTTGAAGCTTTACGTTTATGAGTTAGTGTTAAAGTTTAAGAACAAGTACTTTTTAAGAAGTAACTCACCTTCAAGAAGGTGAAGTCGTTTTAAGTGTTTTTAGTCACTAGCGCCAGTCCGTTGCCTTTTGAGACATTTTGAGATAGAGCAGCAGTTATGCTCTTGAGACTTTTAAGATGAGCAGCAGTTATGCTCTTGAGAATCGTGGTGGCTCAGAATCGTGGTGAAGAGCCACCACGATAAGTTTAAGATGTTAGGGGGATGAATCCTTACGACTCCCCTAACTAAGTTTAAGTTTAAGGAATGCCTGGATGGCTTCTCATACGTATGAGTTGGCAACCAGACTAGCTAGTGAGGGATCCCCGTGTCAGTCAAATATTTAATTCAAGATTTGAGTTTTAAGAGAGGAGAGTAACTTCAACTCCCTCAAAGTTTAAGAGTTAAGATTTTAAGTTTGGAAGTACAAACAACTTCCACTAAGTTAAGTAAAGTGATCAAGTATTACATAAGGTGTTAATGTAAGGGCGTAGACTGACCCCATCTCACTCACTAGTTTGAAGAGGACTAAGAGGAGTTAGAGAGCAGCGGGTTCGAGAGGAGCAGTTTGAGGGCATCCAGCTAGAGGGGGGAAGTACAAGTGCCACTGAGGATGTCTGGTCAAGGTTTTCATGAAGCAGTAGCATTAGAGACATTTTAGTTGTTTCAGTTTATGATTATGAGTATAGGCTGGAGATCATTTTGAGATTTTAAGGTTTGAGTTTGCCCAAGTGTCAAGCTTTGTGTTTAAGTAATGACAATTATTTTCGGTATTTATTAAAGTTATTTATGAAATGTTTCCGCTATTTTTCCAAGTATTTTCAGTTCTTATTTTATTTCACGGTTTATTAAGGGTATTTTGGTAAAATTAGTACCCGGTCGGGTTAAGGTGTTACATTTTGGTATTAGAGCCGGTCTTCCTCTGTTCCTTGGTCTCCAAGGAATACTGGAATATCGGTCTCAGTTTTAAAGGCTTTTGTTTTAAAGGAAAGGAAAACGAGTCAAGGATCTTCTTTTAAGAGTTTATAGGATCTCCAGTCTACTCTAATCATATTAAGGTGAACTACTATGACAGCACAACACGAAGGGATGGTAGCCCAGGGTGCGATTGTTTAAGAATAGGCTAGGACGCGATTTAGTAAGTATGTCGTGGTTTGTCAAATGAGAGATTTAAGCATATGGTGATCGCTAGTAAGAAAGAAAGGATGAAAGAAACGTGACCAACCCAAGTAGAATCTCAAAGGCTCTCAAGACCAAGTACCTCATCGACATGATGGATAGTAGTTTTTCAATTAGTTAACCAACTACTCGGACGTTAGCAAACAGATCATCATCATTAACCTAGAGAAGGAAGGAGGAACGTTGCAATGGTCTGTGGAGGTAGAATCAAATGTGCGAGGACTTCAACTCCAAACACCAGCAAAGAGGTGCCAATTGAAAGGGAATACCTCAAGGATTTTGAAGGAGTTGAGAGATTAGTACGAGGATTTTACTACTAGGAAAACAAGTGGATGATCTAATAAGCTAAGACAAACAAAGGGGAGAAATATGAATCTCCAAAGAAAGAGCTACAATCACTAGATGTCAGTAGCTATAATGATGAGAGAATTTCAGGGATCTTGACCCTAAGCAGTGGCGAGTCAAGAAACGAAGAGGCACCACGAGAAGTCCCTCAACTAGTTTTAGTGGTCAACGCTATTACAACACACTGACAAGGAGTAGTGGAAAGCTTAGACTTCAAGACAAGCTAGGGTAGTATAAATGAGGTAAAGAAGGAAATAAGTAGGTTAGAGGGGGGTCTGAAAGGATGTCAAGAAGTCAACAGGTCAAGGAGGAGAGGAGGCATGGTCATTTCCATATGACGATAAAGGAACCCTTATAGATAAACTACCTCACTAGAGAAGAGGGTACATGAACCTGGGGAGTTAGGCTGATGACAAGCCTTTAGAAGGAACAAGACAAGCAACGAGATAAATGATGTAGAGGGAAAGTTATGGTCTCAGTACGACCACCATTGGACGAGACGTGGAGGAAAGTGCCACCAAAGTCTAAAGCATGCCTGGTAGAAGACAGTGGGGAGTCAATACGTAAGAAAAGACATGGAATGTGAGAGAGAATAGCAGTTAGCTAGTAGATGGCAGTACGAATAGAGAACCACTTCTCAGAAGTGCGTGAGTTGGATACCAAGATAACACCGAGTTAGAAGGAGGATAGTAGAGACCCTATAAACTACCCAGATCACAAAAGGTCAAGAGGATGTTGGGACCGTTAGAAGGGGTATGCAAGAGTTCACGATGATCTGTTATGGGATTTTCCTATCCTAAATGGAGGGAGCACCTAGCCGTCTAGGGTACATGAGGGGTGACAGAAGGAGGAACCTCTGTGATAAGTTGGAACTAGAGGGCTAAGAGCAAAAGTCTCGAAACTAGCTATAGGAGTAAGTCATTAAGCCAACCGAGTATAGACAAGTAAGTGGAACATTCAATAAATGTTCTAGTGAATGGCAGAGAATCGAGGAAGCTCATGGAAGTTTCGAGAATATGTGTAGGTGACTCGGGTTCAAGAAAATGCATAGTGGAGTACGACGAGGAAAAGCATTACCAAGAAGGAGGAAATCATTAAGTTACCTTACCTAAGGTGCCCCACTCTGGGTGGGAGCAGCATAGTAGGATGTCATCCATAGGAAGCGACTAGTTAAGGATAAGTAAGACACGTTCAGTTAAGCCCACTAAGAACCCAGACTATGAGATTAAGGCCATATGCAGGCATCAATTGAGACAAATGACTTGAATGAGGTATGTTAAAACCTACCCAAGGAAATCCTCTATTGGAAGCTTTAACCCTAACAATAACGAGAAGATACTCAACGGAGTTTGGTGACCAAATATTGTACAAAGCAACAACGGAAGAGTAGTAAAAGTAAAGAAGCAAGGCGAACACCATAGGACGTTATAGAAACAAAACGGTGGTCGTCGACCGGGCGATGTATGCGTCGAGGAAGATAGCTAGGACGGGCCAAAGCAGGAGTACAACTGACAACAAGAAAGCATTACGTTGAGTGCTAGTAGAGAACAATCAATCCATAGGAAGTCCATCAAGAAAGTAAGGTGCAATCGTGGTCGTTAAGACTAGTCAAAGGGAGAACCTTATAAGTCAAGGACTCAAGGCACATTAGTAAGAAGAGAATATGAGAACCTAGATGACTATATCGAGAATAAATGACGTCATCTAGAACTAGCGAGTAATATCAAGAAGAAGAGTCACGAGTAACGAAGAGGGATATAAGTTTAGTGAACCTGCTAGAATACCCAAAAGTGAAACCAAGATTTCCTATGTTGGTGAAAGGTGTCAATCTCTCGGGTAAAACTCTATTGGACGGGGAAGCCGTATGAGGAATTTCAGCTAGGGTCTAAGAGTAGCATAATGGATAGTACGAGAACTTCAAATAAAGGTGGCGATAAGGAAGTGCTAAGTTAGGTGCCAGGAGTGAACAGGTAAGCCAAAAGGAAGTTCATGACTCTTGAAGGGAGTCATATAGTTGTTAGCAAGCTAGAGAAAGATGAAAAGGATGCCTTTAATGCATACAAGAAGTAAAAGCAGTAGTATGAGATTTCAGAGTTAAGCAAGAAGTAACGAGGAGATGACCACTCAGTTTATGGTTAAAGGATAAGACGAAGCATCAAAGAAGAAAGTAAGAGATACAAAGTCAGGAGGTACAACGTCCTAGGTCACCTATGAGGTCAACCCCAGACGAGAGTTACGTTAAAAGAGTTTTACCACCTTACTAGAGGGAGGATAAGCCGCCATCAGTGACCTTGGGGTTGGAGAGGGGCATTAAATTCTCATGTAGCGAACAATGGATAGTTATCGTTCCTATATATGTAAAAGGTGCAGCCGAGGTAATGTGAGGGTTTAAGAAGCCACAACAACATTGAAGTTGCATGGAATGGAGAGAAGGATTTTAGGTCATGTCGTATAAGTTAAAGGAAATAAAAATCCGCGAAGTGAAAAGGATTACCACAAGCGATGCTTAGGGTAATCACAATGGACAAATTTCGAGGGCAAAATTTCTATAAGTGCGGAGGAAATGTAATACATCAACTTCTATTTAGGT